ACAGTGTCACCATAGTGACACTGTACTACTTGTGGGGGGTGATGAAGAGTTTTTTTTTTCTTTTTTTACACTGATTGCTTTTACACCCATAAAGGCTGTAAAAGCAATAATTTCTCCATCTCTCTGGTTGCATTCTTGCAGCCACTGAGAAATACTGTAAGAGCTGTGACTGGTCACAGCTTGTCACATGGTACAAGGCTGTTGTGAATAGCCTTGTATCATGTGATCTCATTCACAGATTTCACAAGTAGTAAGCAATGATGTCAGGAAGTGACATCTTGCTTACTACTATTCATGTGATCACTGATTGGCCAATCAGTGATCACATGTTTGGGATCTCACATAGAGGTCCCGTACAGCGGTTTGTGTTCTGCTGTGTCCTCTGGACATAGCTGGCACCGGATCCCAGGGAGTGCACACAAGCAGTAAATGTGGGCGCTGTTTATAAACGGCAACCCGCTTCGGCACTGCTTCTATCTGACCGTTTATATGTACATGGGCCGGAGGGAAGTGGTTAACTGCAGCAGAGAAAAAAAAAATCAGGTCTCTTGTCCTGCCAGACAGCTCCATCTGTGTATTTAGCTGCCTGGAGTTCAGCTTTTACCTCTGCTAAAAAATTTAACTGTTATCAGCCTCTTGCAAACCCTGAAACAGCAGAGCTCATAGTGGGGGAGGGGAGAAGCAACAGTTTGTTTGTGCTGCAGTGCAGGAGAAAACTGATAGGGAGAGGAGCGAAGAGTGACAGAGAGGGGAACTCCTTATTTGTTGCTTCTCCTTTTACTGTCCAAATTACAGGTTGGGGGAGAGACAAAACCTATAATTGTTATTGAACTGCAGCATAAAAAAGGTCTCTTGCCCTGTCAGACACGAATGTGGTGTGTAGTAGAGCTGTGTAAATTTCAGAAATGGATGAGCAGAAATACAATTCCTTTGTCAGGTAAAACAGCTCTCATACTGTATGTGTATTTTATCTGTGTATTTAGCTGTTTCCCTAGAGTTCAGCTTTAATACACAGGACCTTCTGTGTTGCATCATGTTGATAATGAACAAAGAGAGACATGAAAAGCTAGCCCTATGAGGCTTGCAATGGAAAAAAAAATAAAAAAAAAAAAAAGCTGACGTGCAAAAAATCGTTACTTCTCAGTTTCTAAATTCACTTCACGGTTTTAAAAGGTTAATTTTTTACACCCAGTGAAGAGATTAGGGAATGTGAATTTTTAGTGTCTGTCCTCCATGAGTATTATTTGTGTACAAAGAAATGAGTGACACAGTTAAGTGAAAAATATTAAGGTGCAAACTGCCTGGTCACAAATGCAGACACATTTAGGGAAACTCCCTTGCTAGTCAGCCAATAAACGGATCAGACATTTCAAACAGCTGTAGAAATCAAGAAAGTTTAACATTAGATTGTCCTCAAAAGACTTTTGCTGGCTACAAATCAGCTAATTCATAGGAAATTCAATGGTCATCAAAATGAACTACTGATTTATACAAAGCCAAGTCCAGAATCTCAGCACATTTTAATATAGTTTTGCATTTGCATTGAAATGTTTCCAGTGGATACTTTTCCTACATACAGCATATTAACAATGTGTCCACAAATAAACTAACCTGCCTTAAAATTGTAGGACATATTTATCAAAGGGTGAAGTGCAATGGTCCCATTTTTAGCCAACTCACTTAACACAAATTATCAAGGTGTGTAAAACAGTAGTTTGTATATTCCCGACTCACTTGTGAACTTTAGTTCCAAATGTTTTTCACTTTACTGTCCATGTAAAATATACTTCACAGCATTTATCAGTAATAACAGTATATTTGTAACTAGTTGAGAAGGAATATTTTTTCCATTTTGTATTCATTTACCACTGCATAGGAGTGGCTTTTTTAAGTTATCTACAATTTTATAGTTCCTGAATATTTATGTTTTGCTTTTTTATTGCTGGTTTTAAGTTTTAAAAATCTAGACCATTTCTATTTACATTGAACTAGTAAAAGGCCCAAAGAACCAATTTTAGTAGCAGCTTGTCACTATGCCTGTTTCACATGGGTTTCAGCTTGTATAAGAGCAGTGTGTACAGCGAGCTTTGACAAAGCATTTGCAGAGCTTCCAGCAAGCTTTGTTGAATCCTTCAAAGTATTATTCAGGTATACTTTGTAAATGTTGAACACAGATCCTAATGGGAGTGCTGAATGCCACTTTAAGCAAGCTGCTAGCAGGCTTCAGCATTTCTTGAAGCTTGTTAAAAGCCAATAGAAGCCTGCTAGCAGCTTGTCGAAGTTGCAGTTAACACTCCTATTAGGATTTGTGTTCAACATTTACTGAAGGTGAGTGGTACTTTAAAAGCTTCAACAAAGCTTGCTGAAAGCAACTGTCAAAGCTTGCTGTTCACACTGCTTTTTATACAAGCTGAGGTCTGTGTGCTACAGACCTTAACATCTGTCAGGGCAAAATTTAAAAAAAAGGCAGTACATCTCTGAAATACATGCGCTCCTCCCCATGTTTTAACCCTTTAAAGAAGTACAGAATACCTGTTGATCTGCTAAAAATGCATTCAACTCTTAAAGTGTATGTTATCTTAAATATCTTTTTTCTCTATATGTGTGTTCACATATATGTACTTTATAAATCTCTATCATTTTCATGTACTTATTCCACCTGAAGTAACCGATGGATCTTGCTAGTTATCTTCCTTCCTTGTTCTAAACTGACCACACAAAGCACAGAAGCTGATATGTGTTTGTGTGGTCGGTTTTCAACCTTTGGCTGTCCATTCAGAGGAATAGGATACTGTGCAGACAAACAGCATGCTTAGGTAGGTATGTATTAGGCAGTTTGTTCAGCCACCATGCCCCCCCCCCCAACCAACCACAGCCTACCTCTAGCACATACCCCCTCCCAATCACAGGCTTCCTCTTAAACACATCCCCTGCTTAAGCTCATGTTTCCTCAGGCGGAACAGACAGGAATACAGGCACACTATGTGTCTGCACAGTGTACTGTATCCCCGCCCCCAACGCTCAGGAAAAACAGATGCATAGTCACAGGACAGAACTTATTAAACTTCTAAAAAAAGGTAAGAGAGATAATTTCTGAAACTAACCAAAAACAGTTATGGTACTTGCATAGTAATACCTGTATTAGAAAGTGTCTGTACCATTGTATGTTCACAACTGTAAAGGGTTAGCTCACCTTTGCCAAAAAACTGTCTATGCAGATAAGTGGCATCTGTAGATAAAATCAAACTGTGCAATTCTGACTTAAAGTGATGTTAAAGTAAGTGATTTTTAAAAAATAACAAACATTACCTGCTGGCACTCCAGGCTCCTCCACCTTGACCAGTGCCCCCAATAGCAAGCTGTTTGCTATGGGGGAACTGGTGTGTGCTTGCTCCTGAGCCCTGCCCTGTGCGTTCATGAGACACACAGTGCAGTGGCTCTGCCCTGTCTCTGCTGTCTCCCACTGCTGTGTCTTAGCCAATGAGGAGAGAGAGACCCAGGACAGCCAAGGCTCCCATGCAGATTGCTGGATCAAAGGAGGACCCAGGTGAGAATTAGGAGGGCTGTGTGGGGAACAACCCATAGAAGCTTTTTTACCTTCATGCACAAAAAGCATGAAGGTAAAAAAAACCTTCAGTGCCAGTTCACATATATGTGGATAGGATGCGGTTTGAACTGCTTCCAATCCGCATGACATGTGAAATAACATTGCTTCCTATGGTACCTGTTCACATATGTCCGGCGCACTAGCAATGTGGATTCAGTGTGGATAGAAAAAGAGCCCTGTCCGATTTCTGAGCAGTCCAGTTCAGGTGCGGAATACAGGCAATTGACTTCTATGGGAACCACTTCTGAATTGCACATGTCATCAGTTGTGAACATGATTTCAGTTCAAGATAAGTTTTCAATTCAGGATCAGGTTTCAGCACAGTTTGCTCTCTCCTCCCCCTACTCTCCACCTCAGCAAAACCAAAAAAGCCTTGCAAAACTGCATCCATACCAGCCCTGAACTTGTAAACAGTACAATCTGCAGCTGTGTCACAAAAACCAATCCTGAACCCGCCCTGAACCGCCGAACAAGTAGATTGCAATCCGCACTGAAACCAGATCTTGAAATCTGGAATGCACATGTGTGCATGGGCACTCAGCCTTTACAACCACTTTAAGTTGAATAATGCCCATTCTACAGGTGTAGGCCATTTACATACCTCCTGAAGCCTAACTGGAACACTCCCAGGACATTACTAGGAAGTTGCTAAGTGAGGCCTTGTCATTGCTGCTCACCTCTTCCATCACAGGAGTGAGTTCAGAGCTACTACATCAGAAGTGAGAAAGAGCATGTGAGAGGGTCTGAATCAGAGAAAAAGCTCACTCCTGTGATGGGAGAGGTGAACAGTAATGACTAGGCCTCACTTAGCAACGTTTTATCAATATTTCAGTCTGACTTTAGGTAAATAGTCTACACCTATAGCAAGAGCACTATTCAACTTTAGTCAGAGCTGCAGTCTACAAACACCCCTTATCTGCATAGGCAGTTTTTATTTTTGTAAAGGTGAACTAACCCTTTGAGTCCTATTGTGTTGTGGGCTGACAAAACATGGAATGGTGTCAACCATGTCCAATGTCTTTTGCTAAACTACTCAACGACTCCCTCTCTGATATCTCTACAACATAACTCCAAACCATTCTGATGTGTAAGATAAGAACTAGGAAGGTTTTTGAGATAATACAGTAGGTATGTATCGGTCACAGGACAGCTTTGTACTTCTAAGATCAACAGGGTTTTTTGCTCTTATCAAACAGATATAACAAATTGCTTAATTGGTACATTTAAAAGTCCAAATGGAAGCAAATAAGAAAAGTTCAAGAAAAGGTTTTACATATACTGTATTTTAACCACCTTGCGCACGCCCTATAGTACAATGATGAGCGCAAGGTGGTTCTCTCGTTCTGATAGGACGTCATATGACATCCTACCATTCTCATTGCGCATGCGCAGCTCAGGGCACAGCGGATCACGGAAAGAGCTGAAGATGTTGGCTCGGTCATGTGATCAGCTGTGTCCAATCACAGCCGATCACATGTAAACACGGAAATGCCGGTTATCGGCATTTCTCTCCTCTCGAGCTGTCACGCTGACAGCTCGAGAGGAGAGGAGAACCGGTAATCGGCTTTCTGCAGGGGGCACATGTACACTGATCATCAGGGCACTGATGATTAGTGTGCCCTGATGATCAGTGTGGCCCCAGAAGTGCCACCTGTCCGTGCTCATCATCAGTGCCAGTGCCCATCAGTGCCAGTGCCCATCAGTGCCACATCAATGCCACATATCAGTGCATACCAGTGCACATCAATGCCACATATCAGTGCCCATCTGAGCTGCCTTTCAATGTCACCCATCAGTGCCAGTCAGTGCCACCTATCAATGCCAATCAGTGTCAGTGCTAACAGTGTCACCTATCAGTGTGCTGCCTATCACAGTCAGTGCCAGTCAGTGCCAGTCGCCTATCAGTGCCAAGTCAGTGTGCCTAACAGTGCCCTATCAGTGCCAGTCAGTGCCGCCTATCAGTGCCTATGTATGTATCAGTGTCATGTATCAGTGCTGCCTTTCAGTGCCCATCAGTGATGCCTGTCAATGCCCATCAGTGCAAACTACCAGTGCCTCCTCATCAGTGCCCATCAGTGCCACCTATCAGTGTTCATCAGTGCAGCCTATCAGTGCCTATCACTGCAGCCTCATTAGCGCACATCAGAGAAGGAGAAAAATCACTTATTTACAAAATTGTATAACAAAAACTAAGAAAAAACTTTTTTTTTTTCAAACTTTTCAGTGGTTTTTGGTTTGTTTAAGAAAAATAAAAATCTCAGAGGTGATTAAATACCACCAAAAGAAATCTCTATCTGTCTCAAAAAAATGCTAAAAAATTCATAAGGGTACAGTGTTGCATGACCGCGCAATTGTCATTCAAAGTGCGACAGCGCTAAAAGCTGGAAATTGGCCTGGGCAGGAAGGGGGTATAAGTGCCCTGTAGGCTAGTGGTTAAACGGTTATGGAATGTTTGGTGTTTTGCTACAAAGGTGTTCAAGGTAAATCCTGTGGGTTCTAAATTCATGATCCTGGTAAATGTAGGTGTAGATTCACCCTAGGGGATTTAATTTTTCAACCTTAATGCACTGCATGGCCTTTGTACTATGGGCAGCAAACATATACTGTAAGGGCCAATTAGGGAATGTTTGGATAAGCCAATCACTTCACTACAAAAGAAGGGAGGGAGCAGCCATAGTGTCTGTGTATTGGAAGCAGCAATAGGGGAAGGATACAGAAAAGTGACAAACTGCCTATTGAAAGTCTAGGGTCAGTTAGGAAGGTGTACTTTAATTCTGATTGCTAGCTCTTAGAGTAATTAACACCTTCTGTTCTTTTTTGTTCTTATTGGTGTTTTTTTGTGTGTTTAATTTTATTTTGTACATGCTTTAAGGTCAGAGGCTCCTTTTAGCTGCTGTCCCTTCCAGGGCCTTTTTTTTTACTTTTCAGAAGGGGTAGTATTTTTAGGTTTATGCATTTTGGGGGGTATACTGCTTTTTATTTTATGTTGATAGAGCCTTTTTTTTTAGATTTATAGGGTTAGTTCACCATATTAAAAAAACTTACAATCCAGTCACTCTACACCAGGGGTGGCAAACTGGCTGCCCTCCAGCTGTTGCAAAACTACAAGTCCCATCATGCCCCTGCCTTTGGGAGTCATGCTTGTAACTGTCAATTTTGAAATGCCTCATGGGACTTGTAGTTTGGAAACAGCTGGAGGGCTGCCAGTTTGATACCCATGCTCTACACCATAGCAGCATCCTAATTATGCCATCAGATCTTACTATAATGCCTCTCCTATGGTAGCATACCTGTGGACCATAACAGGAGGATAACAGATGCATGCCAGAAAACTGACACTGCTTTACATGGCTTCACTCTTTCTTCTTACAGCTGTTAAAATAAGCGATCCCTTGTACTACAGGATGGAGCATGACATTTTCCCTAGGGCTGCACATGCACAGTGGAAGGCTGCCTCCGCACAAAGATAGAATGTGAAACAAGACATACTAAGTCATTAATGGTGAAGGCTCAGCTGTAGTAAGTCTACATGCACTGATGACTAGTCCTTTGACCTCAGTTTGCAATTTTGGAAACAGTTTTTCCAGTGTACAGGTCTTCTTTAGAAGCTCCTAACAAAACCCTTTAATTGGCTTGTCTGTGCTATTCTATAATGTCAGCTATATTTTCTATAATGTCAGCCAATATTTTAGTGCTTTCAACAAATCAGACTGGTCAAATATTGTCTCCTAAAGCGAAATTCAGATCAGTTATACACAAAACGTACTTATGGTGCTTTTTCATGTATATTTTTAAGAATTACTGCTTGTATAGTCTAGTGGGGGTGCAGTGCAGATAGGTACTTATCTTTTTTTTTGTACCTGTGGACTTCTCTAACAGCATTACCAACATCACTTACCGTACAGGATTAGTGGCCATAGCTGGTTCTGCATTGCACATGATAATGTTAAAGGATAAGTTCACCTTTGGGAACAAAGTGCTTTTAGGGTAGAATATATAATATATTCCTGATCCTGCAGCCACCCTCCCTGTGACAGAAGTACAATGGCTGTTTTGGAAGACAATTCATTATCAGCTGTTGATAGATGGATGCAGCTTATTGTTTAGGTTTGTATACACTTCAATACATTGCTCATGTTACCAGTGATAATAATAGATACAAGCCCAATTCAATATTTTGTTTTTCTTACCTTTAGGAACGCTGGTTATATTAGTGTCTGCAATTCGGAGGTAGGATAGTTTCTTCATGCCTTGAAAAGCACCTTTTTCAATCCCAGAACTATCTATTGGATTTGTACCTAGTTCTGTAAAAAGAAATAATGCAGCTTACTTTAATTTGTCACAGTAGATGTAGCAATTTGCAAACAGATACTATCCATCTTCACTGCACCTTACAAGCATAAGACATAATAACAAAAAAAGTTTATCTTCTTGTTATTATTTTTACCAAAGTCATGAAACTGAATGTGGGTTTAGCAGTGTAGACATTTTACAGTATTCCCTTTAGAATGAGTAAATATAAGATTTTTTTTTACTGTTTTGCAAAATAAAATGGAACAATACCCAATAAACACAATAGTAAAACGTTGCAAAATGTTACCAGACAACTCCGTAACAGAATAATTAAATTACAGTATATCTACTACTAAGGATACAAAGTTAGATTTACCATAAGAACTTTCTTAGGAACCATTGGAGGCACCAAACTACAGAGATTCATTCAATTCAAGAATCAAAATAGTCTGATTTCCTAAAAGGTATATTTCTTTGCAGATCAGATACTGAGCAAAACTGGCTGCACAATTAAGGCCATCATACACAGCTTGATCTTCTGCAAGCTGAAGAAGAAATCAGTTGATTCCCCCATCCACACTAACAGAGTAGATGGTGGAATCTCTGCTGCAGGCTAGTGCATTCAGGCAGCCACAGGTGCCTGAATAGTAGCTGCATCTGATAGGAAGCAATGACTGTTAGGCCAATATTTTTTCACCCAATTCCAGAAGATTTTTAAATTGAGAAGTGTTGTGCTTTCAACCAATTTAGCTGGAATCAGCTGGAATTTGAGCCATCCATGGGAACTTTATGAGAACATGTACAGTCATGTATTGTAAGAAGGTCTTTAAAAGTTCATCTTGTGTTACTTTTGATTTTTGACCTCCTTGCTTTTAAACCTTGACTCTTGTTGCCATTCCACATTTCTTTTCTGCCACATACTATAAGCCCTTTGTTTTTTGGATAGATAATGGACCTGCATACATGTGAAAATCTTCTATTGGTTCAAAAGGTTAGCAAAATCAATTAAAAAGACACCCACAATCCCACCACCAATAATAAAGTGTTGACAAAATAATGGCTCATCTACTTTCACACAGGTCATATCTGAATGTTCATTCCCTAATCAAATATAATATCCAGAGTAAGGATGAGATTCAACCTTAGGTGAAGGTATAGTTTGACTCTGAATGTCCGCAGTTAAGGGAAATGGCAAACTATTTGGCTGCCGGGCTACAGAGGCATATGAGCGGCTGTGATATCGGAGGAGAGTGCCTTCTATTCATCCACTGACTTGGAGGAAACCTGTCCCTGTTTTCATTCATACATCTAAAGAGTCCGTATTGGAGGATTTCGTGGTGATCTACATTACGCTTTATGGCCCTGTAGGGTCGTGGAGTGGAGGTGAGAGGCCACTGCAGCAAGACTGCCCGGGGTCACCTTCTTTGGAGTGTGCTGTGATTCACTTACACCCCTGTATGAATTATGGACACCTTAGCCTGCACTTAAACCACTTATCACTGCTATTAGTCTTATAAGGGCTATTGTTTTTTGTATCCCCAGGCGATCCTGGGTCATGTTATCATTTTTATTTTACTATCCGGATATATATTATATTTTGTCTTTAGTTTTTTAGCGCTGCATCAACTTTATATTCTATTCATATTACCCTTTTTTGGTGCGGGATAGATGCTGGCTGCTTTTTAGTTTCTTTATCCACCACTTACCATAAGAGCGCAGGAGGACTTTATGTGATTCAAACTATTGAGTTACTTCACGGCTGTGCCCACACCCAATTCCCATCATGCATTTCATGAACTGTGAAATGTGGTCAGGTGGTATGTTTGTCCAGTAATGGGGTTTTGTAAATGTGCCAGCTACCCCCCACCCCCCCACACCCCTTAACAAAGTCAGCTCTCCCATCAGCCTTTTGCAGTGTGTTTTGAAGTTAGTTAAGGTAAGGACAGCTGACAGACAGTGATTTCAGGGCGAGAAAATAATTGTTGTACAGTGCCATATACAAAGTGTTATAGTTCTACTGCTACATTACAGTAAATTGCACTGCTGTGGGCTACAGCCATTGGTGTGTACCCAGCTGTATTCACTGAGCTGCATAGTGCTCCATTACTGTGAATTGTGCCATGTGGGTTAGATATCCTTGTGTACTCACAGTGAATAGATTCAAAAGTCATTTTAATGCTAACTGTTTTGATAGCTTATGTTTGCCCTTTCTGAGGGGGTGTTTCATTTTTTTTTTTTATTTCTTTCACATCATTCTATCTGCTTTAAGTTTCTTTCAGGAAAAAAAAATTAGAATAAAAAAATGCTTCTGGGTTACAGTGTTTTAAGGTTGGTGTATATATATATATATAACTATATGTAGTATATGTTTTTTTGGCGGGGGAATAGATTTCCAATAAATCTAATAAATATTTAATATATATAATTATGAATAGGTCATGCACTTTCTTTCAGGGTCAGAAACATTAACTTGTTGCTGACACATGCAAAACTACTCATTGTTAGCAGCATATCACCACATATTATTGCAGTCCAGTTTACTGCACAAAATCACCACATTTTGCAGTGCAACAAAGCACCAAATCCTCAAATTCCTATTGCCGTAGCTGTTAATAAAATTAAGCAATCTCCTGTTTTCATCATGTCTGAGAGACCTAAACAGAGAGGCAGAGGTTCTTTACATGCATCTAGAAAGGGACAACCAGGTTCTGCATCTACAGGCCAAACTGGTAGTCAAGCCACACCTTTGAGAGACAGGGCACATCTGCCTTTCTTTTTTGGTATAAAGCCTGAGCACATGGAGGTGGTAGTGGAGTGGATAACCAAACCTTCAGAATCATCCTCCTCTCGAGTGCAGAATAGCAAAGTATCATCAGCACTTGCTACCTTGAAACAGACACAGTTGACCAGTTCACCTTCATAAAAATAAACCAGCCCTGGATCAGCAATAAGTACCAAATCCCTGCAGATGATGCTTACAATTTTTATTTGAATGTGGCCGCAAACACATTACTACACCATTACCATCTCCTGCCACTGCTGCAGAGATGCCAGCTTTACCATCTCATGCTGTCTCTTCTAGTGCTCCAACTCTGCCAATGTGCCACACATAGGGGGAGATTTACAAAAACTGGAGCACTCAGAATCTGGTGCAGCTATGCATGGTATCTAATCAGCTTCAATATTCAGCTTTTTCAATTAAGCTTTGACAACAAAATCTGGAAGCTGATTGCTTTCTATGGAGTGCTGCACCAGATTTTACACTCTCCAGTTTTAATGAATCTCCCCCATAATGTTTCGTATCAGGTCCTCAGCTGCCAAGTTTGTGCAATTCTTTCTTCAGGGTCAATTCTGTATGGCACCCAAATGTTTGAGGTGTGTTCTGGTCCCCTGGTACTGTAAAAGTGCCACATATGTTTTTGCAGCTTCTCCTCAGCTGCCAAAACTGTGCACTTTTTCTGCAGGGTCAATCCTTACCTTACATAGTGTGCAGTGTGTGTGTTCAATATTTCAGGCTATTGTCTCAGACATAATGAGTTATAATTTTTATTGATAAAAGCTGTCTTCTCTCTCCGCTCCCATTTAATTTTGTTAAAACAACTTACACAATGTGCTGCATGTCTGTGCAATATTTCATGATCTTTCTTATAACATACGGTTGTACTGTAATTTTTATTTCTTGATAAAAACTGTCTTGTCGCTCCCTTTTTTAAATTGAATAGATTCGGGTGCTGCTGTTGTATGCAAGCCACGATGTAAAAGTAAAAATAAAATTACACATGCAATTTATGTAATGGCAAAATACAGTGTCACTGACAGTATTCAGGTAAATCATACTGTCCCATAATGCCATATATAGCTTTAAGGCATATCCTAAGCAAGTAATTTGAAGATTTTTTTCTATGTCACCCTCAAAGTCACATACCATTGCTGAATGGTATTTCCTAAACTTGCTTTTTACATTGGTAAATGATCCCTATGGCCGTGCCAAGCTCCCCATGCTCTTTGCTTGACATTCTCTTGACTATTAGCCTTGAAAATAGCCAGAGCTGAATTTCAATATTCACCTACTATAGACTTCAACTGGGTGAAGATTAAAGTTTGCATCTTTTGGAATGTACATTTATTTCAACAAACATTCTGCAAACTGAGCCCAGCACATTTTCTCATCACTAATCCCAAATCCAGTGTTATAAAGGATTGAAATTTTTATCTAAACAAAAATGTTTTGTCCTAATTACCTGTGAACATGCCACGGCAGCCCATAGATGATGGCTGCTTTAGTTCAGGGTGTCTATGCCTTGATTTCTAGTTGAGTTGATTGTTTTGATGACCACCGGGACCATGCACAAATTTAGCGAGTTGGCACACACTATGGTAATTGTCTCCCCATGTCTCCCTATAGTAGTTTCATTTTTCTTTTTAGAGTGGGTGAAGAGGACGACAAATATGTAATTTACCAGCCCCTGCCTTTTCCTTGTGTGTTCTCGGCTCCAGTTTATGAATGAACAGGAAACCACTCAGCACAGAGTAATTCCCATTCATTCACTGTGCAGCTGGGGCTGCAGAGAAAGGGACTAGGGAATCTGTCCTCAGTCCCTTTCCGTGTTTTAAGACATCGTTTCGGCATTTTTGGCAGTTTGGTAAAAGGATGTCTAGCTTCTCCACTGGAGCAAACTAAATCAGTATTTACCTGTCCAGACCTTCCACATTATGTACTGCTGGCAATGAACATTGATTGGCCAAATGTGCTTATTGCAGAATAACTTTACTCAATATTCTTTAGTTGTTCTATGTATGGGTGCAATCAACTGCTCTTAGAGTGACTCAGACATGAGAGATGTATGGAGGGCTGCCATTGCTGGTCTTCCAAAGAGAAAACTTGTTGCCTGGCTGTGTCTGATTAAAGTATTTTTAAAGCAAAGGACCAAAACAAGCATGCTTTAAGTGTCAATACATTTCAGAATTGCTTATCTTTATACTTTTTGCAACAACTTAAACAGCATTGAAGCCAAAAAATAAGCATGACAGCCAAGTAAAGAATTCTCAAAATGAATTTTTAGCAATGGCAACATCCATGATTTACTCATGACAACATTATTTTAAGTATTTGAGCACCTATCCCAGTTGGTAGGAACAAACCCTGAGATCCTGTCACTGCCCTGGTAAAAGGAAAATGCATACCCTTCACTGAGAGCCAGTATTAAGTAGCAAAAGAAGATGTTGATGACTTGCTTCAAAAATTGAGTATGACTTCTAAAGCAAAGCACATGGGCAATTATTGGTAGAAAGGGGCCATATGTAAAAAGCAGCTGTGAAGCCTGCTATTTTTACTAGAGACAGTATATCTAGCCTATAGCATAGGTTATCCAATGTGATATAGAGTTTCAAGATACCTTTCTTACTATTATTATTATTATACAGGATTTGTATAGCGCCAACAGTTTGAACACCGCTTTACAAAATGAAGGTAGATATCACAGTTACAATACAATTTGGTACAAGAGGAAACAGAGGGCCCTGCTCGTTAGAGCTTACAATCTAGGAGGAAGGGTTGAGTAATATAAAAGGTAATAGCTGTGGGGGATGAGCTGATGGAGGAAATAAAAGGCAGTTTACTAGTTAGAAGCAGGATAGGCTTCTTTAAAGAGAAAGGTTTTCAGGCATCGTCTAATGGTGGATAGATTAGGAGATAGCCGGACGAATTGGGGTAGGGAGTTCCATAGGATGGAAGAAGCTTGGGAGAAGTACTGGAGGTGAGCATGGGAGGAGGTGACACAGGAACTAAAGAGCAGAAAGTCTTGGGAGGATTGAAGAGTGGTTGATATTTTTAGACCAAGTTGGTGATGTAGCTGGGGGCAGAGTTGTGGATGGCTTTGTAAGTTGTTGTCAGTATTTTGAATTTTACTCATTGGGCGAATGGAAGCCAGTGGAGAGATTGGCAGAGAAGAGTAGCAGACACTGAACAGTTGGTAAGGTGGATGAGCCTGGCAGCAGCATTCATGATTGTCTATTAAAAAATAGACTATTGAGCTACTTTTTGCCACATTGTGTTCAAGAATCTTGTGACTCCAAAAAATCTTAAAGGTCTCAAACTCTGCTCTTGAGAGCTATCTTCTTATAGAGAAGTACTATATCAGCTTCATCAGTTACATTCAATAGCATTTTACTTTAGGGATGGGGCAGAGGAGTTGATCTCTGTCGGAAGGATCACAACAGTAAAGAGAGTGATGAGAACCTGGGCAGGTATAGGAAAGAGACATCACTATCACCATCTTCATGGCAACTCCTACCTGCCTTCAAGTGATTAAAAATATTTTCATTAATTTAGTCAATATTTTGAAAAATCCTTTTAGAAATGTACAAAATAGATTTTGCACTGCACTGTGCTCATTTGCAAGCTTCATTTCATTTTTTTATGTCTAAGATTGTTAAAACACTTTTTTGGTTTCAATCATTGTGTAATAAAATTAGCTAAAAGAACACATACTGGATTTTTAGACAATTTTCCATTTTTGGATTAGCTCACATTAATTCCAGATGGTACCATTAAATACGCATACCACCTAAAACTGCTACATATAGGCTTCCATATTTGTTAATGACTTACCAATGACAATCATGTTATTTAACCCATCAAACACAGTCTTCTTTACTTTGGTTACCGAGTTCTCATGCACACGTAGTTCCTGAAGTGACTTTGGCATATTGGTTGGAAGCTCTTTTAGGCTGTTTTTTGATAAGTACAGTCGTTCCAATTTTGTCAGAGAAGCAAAAGCACCAGGACTGATTGACTTTATTTTATTGTTAACAAGAATTAATGCCTGAAAAAAGATACAAAACATTTTTAGAAGATTGTTGAAGAATATGTCCTTGGTGGCCATTTTATCATTGTCCACACTGCTTTCAATCCTAGCATTCTGTTTCTGTGTGTTCAAATTGTTATTCTAGCTACTGGTAAATCTACAGTGTAGCAAAAACATTGTCAGAGAAGGGGAAGATTGCAGATTATGGAAATGAGCCAAATGACAATGACAATTTGCTCTACATAATACATGAAGAGTGAGAGCCACATAAATGTTTTGGTAAATGGTTGTGGGCCACAATGAAATGAAATGATTCAAATTTTAGATTTTTTATTTTAAATAACATAATGAACATTTCCCTCCTGCAGCCGCGGAATGCCAGTGGGAGGGAGAGGAGGAGAAGCCAGCTTTCAACGGTTGCAGAAGGAAAATGGAGAGGATCGGTTCCTGTATGTGCCACCCAGAATGTGACAGGGAAGCCACACAGGCTCCCTGAAGCATGGGGTGGAGTCGCCATTGCAACCCTGCTACACCAGTGGTTGGAGACGTGTGGTAAAAACGACCCACCCCCCAAACAGAAATGTAAACTGAGCCCCCTATAAGGCTGTTTTCACATTGGTTTACCCACATCGCGAGTGCAGTGCACCTGCAGCTTCAATGTGAGTAAGCTGAGCTTTGCCATAGACCTCTATTATATCTTGCAGGTGTGGTGCACTTTCTGAAAGCACACCAAAAATCAAAGGGCTCTGAAGGCCACAGGTTGAGCACCCCTGGTCTAAATCATATCTAAATCATATTACATGCATACTGTTCTTACTAAGTATAGCTCTTATTTAACTTTAGTTAACTGCTTTATCTTTTAGGTTTAAATAATTAATAATAAAATATCTCACATGAAGCTGTTTGAGGTTTTTAAAATCATCGTCTTTAATTTCTGTAATTTTGTTGTTCTGTAAATCAAGTAAAGTAGTATCAGGAGGTATGTTCTTCGGCACTTGATCCAGACCTGAAAGAAATTGACATTTTTTTAACAATTATTGTGCTTGTCATACTAGGTTTCCTGGTTCTACAGTTTTTCACTGTATTGTTTTCAATATTTGTGTGTAGTCAGGTCAACATAAAATATTACATATTATTATTTTTATTACAGCCAAAAAGCTGAGCTCTTGACACCAATTGACCAGCTTTCCCAGGTCTTCACATCTACTTTGTTGAGAAAAAAAAAAAGATGCTGTTCACAGCGCTTAACAGCTTGAGCATACATTTATGCAGTGAAACAGAACAGAGACTCAACTGCCTAACTTCACTAGATTTCTTAAAGCGGAGCTCAACCCAAAAAGGGGAAGTTCTGCTTTCAGGACTGCTCCCCCGCTCCCCATTAAGGATTGTCACCTTTTGGGGGGGTGGGGGGGAGCGGGTACCAGAATTTGACAGGTATCTGCTCCTACTTCCGGTCCGATTGCCTAGGCGATTGGAAATGGAAGGTGTCCTCCCTCCCTCCCTGTAGTCTTTTGGGACACGTGACAGGTCCCAGAACACTACAGGACCATTCATGAAGCACTGCGCTACTCATGCATGCGCAGTCGGTACCCGGGTGTGAAGCCGCAAGCAGTCGCAGTCGGGTGCCCACACTGAAGATGCTGGCCTACGGGGAACACACCGCGGGACCGAGGGACAGGTGAGGGACTGTTTTTTAAAAGTCAGCAGCTACAGTGTAGCTGCTGACTTTTATTTTTTGACAGGGTGAGTGGAACTCCGCTTTAAAAGAAAAGTAGTGGTTCACTTAGCAAAGTAAGCACATTTGAAGCATCAGTATGAACATAAAAAAAACTACTTAAAATAAAATTGACCCATTAGAAATTTAACATTTTAAATAAAATGAGAAAGAGTTATAACCTCCATCCCAATGTCAGAAAAGTGTGGGGAATTTCAGTAGTGGACATGCAAACATTAAAAAAAATCTAAATACAAATTCCAACCTTTTACATTAGAAAGATACTGTATCCCCTACCTCTTAGTCTTTCAGTGACCATTGTACCTGGCACAGGAAGTGAGAAGAAATACTCCCCAGTAGGAATTCAGAATGCAATTAAAACCTTACAGTGGTTTTAACCAACAACAACAAAAAGTTTGGCTGCATTTCCTCTTTAAACTATATACTTTTCTTAAAAAACAAGCAATTATTTCTTCTAATTTGCTCTGATGGAAGTGCTTAAAGTGGTCTTCAACTTATTATTTAAAAATATTTTTTTAATTACAGAAGAGACTCTAGAGCGCTCAGAGTACATTTAAACCAACCACTGTGGGCTGTGATGAAATGACTCCCATGTACATGTGTGGGAGTGATGTCATTCTGATCCAGCTATTCTAGTGGCCAAAAAGTGTGAACCCAGAAGGATAAAGAGAAGATGGAATTTCTCAAGCACTGACAGCACAGTGCTGGAGGGCTTCTTTTGACGGGTAGGTCTATCATAATGTGCTAATATGTAGTGCATACTAGCACATTAAGGTATTTTCTTCCTGGGGGCTCATTTACATTTTGTAGCTGAGTTTAATTCCACTTTAAGGCTTGAATCACACATTAAAATTGTGTTAATGACCAGTGCATAGAAGCCAATCAGATTCTGTCTTTCATTTTCAAAGCTTAACTGAACAAGCTGTTCCAGATTTTGTCTGCTCAATTTCTGATAAATCTCCCCCACTGCGTTAGCATGCATTTCATGAAGGCCACCTTCTAACATAGGCGTTAGTGAATGCGTGAACAGCTGCCTGAATCATTTCCACTAGAAAGCTGACTATTAGTTATAGAGATGTAAAAAGACTCCCAACTGCTATAGCAGCCAGGAGCCAATTTACAGCTATGTGCTTCCACAGACATGATACCTACAACAGTGACAACAAAAGGATTAAATGTCTGTCATTATACTTGTGCTGTGATTATTAAAGATCTTAGTATACTTTAATTGTTCTTTATAGGTGTATCTCCATTTAGAGGGACATGAACAATTATTTCAATTAGTAATTATGAAGGGTTTATATCTACTTTAAAAAACAAATGTTACCACAATGGTACACAAGTACTCTTTTGTATACAACTACTGCTGGTTGAATAAATGTTGGTTATACAAAGCTAACAGTTCAGTATAAAACACACAACATAAAATTTTTTTTATATTAAGTGGGGTCTTGCGAGCTGCTATGGTGCCTGAAAATAACCCGGTGGCACAACACATAGGGAAGGGGCTTTGATATCACGACGCTCAAGGAGACAGGCAGTTACACAGCAAGTACACTGTAATTGGATTGCTAGCAAGCATTGTGGATCAATTTTAAAGCAATTTTTTTCAGCATTTACATGTGAGTGCAATACTTTGTGATAAATAAATGTTTTAAAAGAGGATAAGGCACTATGTTTTGATAAATCTTGATGTCACTTGGACCATTGGAGGAAGATCCTTAAGAAAGTGAGGGGATCCTAAACCCTGCAGGTTAATAAGTCCCACCCAGCCACAGTCCACAAAAGGAACACAAGCTATTTATGACGTCACTTAACGGTTTGGTCATATTCACCAGGTGAGAGCACAACTGGTGAAGGTGCACGTATGTCATAAATATGCAGCAGAGGTGAACCAAGCACAAGTTGGTTTTGTCCACATCACTGTAAAGAGTGTGAAATCAAAGATGAAACATGGACACTTAATTCTTGGAATTTTGTATTGATTTTGGCAAAGTTTTTTTGCAAATTATACATGTAATTTACATATTTATCAGTGAAGTGCGACACCATTATATTTATTTTGATTGCATTTTTTTTTACTGCCTGGAAGTTTGGAGGGAGTAAAAATATACCTAGTTTTCTCTATTTTAATTCTCCTTCTCAGAGTGCTTTAGAAACCAGAAAACTCAGACCGATTCTTTCTAAACTCTCTTTCCTTTCTCCTTTCCAGTAAATTGTTCACCTCAGCACATTGGACATAAAATGAATAGAGTGGGAGTTGACCGTTTTATGACTCTTATACCAAAAGTGTTTCCAAATTAAGCTTAAAGATGGAATGTGAATCCAAGAGCTCTGGAGAACAGATTTCTCATTTTCACCCTAAATGCCAAAAAGAACATCAGACAGTTTAAATTAAAAACTCTCAGTGGGACACTTCTATGAAAAACTGATATGTAGCGTCGATGAAGTCATGGAAATTAAAACATGTAACAACAAAAGTATAGTGTCTTAACCCATGCTATACTTTTCAATTCAGGTGCAAAGCATTTTATTTCCATCTCTCTGTAATCTGATACAGCATTTAATTTTAAGTTTAGACTAGTCACTAAAGCATGTGGAAATAAGCAATTGACAGGTATAATGTTATAAAATGCATTCTAGCTAACTGAGGTTAGCATAGACAGTCACTTACAGGGGAATATAAATTAGCTATATGTTATAGCCATTTATCATCAGAATACTTTATGACCTTTTCTTTTTCTTTGGCATTTGACACTACTAAAATCCTGGATTTTTCACATTAAACTCTTAATTCAGGACAGCCTTGGATTATGCACCAAATAAAAAAAAAAGTTACAGGACTTGATGCATGCAAAGGATAGTACCGCACAGCAACCCACTGCAGATACTCAGACTACATCTTTTATCAAAAAAAGTGGGCATGCTCCTGGTTGCAGAACTGCTACTAATGCAGGCCATAGATTTGTAAAAAATCCTCTGATTTTTCGGACGACATTAAACTCCTGCGATATTCTTGTCGTGTATGGCTAATTTTGTCGGCAGTTTTTCGGGTTTGTCTTTTGGATTATCAGTCCTGCTGGTAAATTTTTTAAAAACGACCGAATTTCATCCCATTGATGGTAAAAACTGCACAAATTTCTGCACGATAAATTTATGCGCATGAGCGGTGACATAATTTCCGCACAAAAAACGACATCATTTCGTTGTAATTGGTGGTTACATTGGCTCTCTGACCAACCAATATTTTGTTTATCGGTAGAAAAATCGTGAGATTTGTTTACAAATCTATGGCATGCTCAAGAACATGTGAATACAATTGCTAGAGATGTCATGGGACAGTGTCATTAAAAAATATTCTATCAGGGTTTTCTACATAATTCTACGTTAGTCCGTGACATAGGGTGGCAAAGTTGGCAGGGGTGGCACATTTTCATGCAGAATTTCTTTCAACACAAACAACTTGTTCTACTCAACCCCCGATAACAAAATAGGGCTGGTGAAGGTGCAGGGCATGAACACTACCTTTGCTCATCACATATCCAAAATAAATTACCCTGTAACACACTGCTGACCTTTCCTCCAGGGCCATTGTGCCAGGCTATATTTCTAACCCTACCCTATCCAAAACAAAAAAAAAATTGTCTATACATACACTTTAACTATTTTTATGTTACATAGAAGCTGACATGTTGCAAAAGGCTGGTGATTACTTTCACATGCCACCAGAGTCTTCTGATGCAGACATACTTGCAAGATACTGCTGAAGATTATTACATTACTTATAGCACACACAGAGAGAGCATAGCAAAATTGCTGTGTCAGATTAGGGGTTGATTTACTAAGGCAAATACACTGCTTACTTTTGCAAGTGAAGTTGTGCTCTGCAAGGGAATTTTTCCCAGAGCTTATTGCATGTGGCAAAGGTTCACTATGGAAATAATACCCAATTGCACAGAAGGAAAATTAAAAAGTATCATTTTTGCTTGCACATGATTGGATGATTGAAGTAAGCAGAGATTTACTTCTTTCTTTACTTTCTAGGGATAATGCAACTGCCCTTGGAAAGTGAACATTCTATTAGCCTTTAGTAAATCAACCCCTATGTGTTCCTATGCACTTCCTGTTCTATAAATTGACCTGTAATGTCACTTCCCCCAGAGATCATATGGGGACATATCGCTTGTCCAGGAAATGTCCACAGAACTACAGCTTTTCTTCCGGCTTTGCAAATTACATATGTACTGTTAAGATCTAGACTGGAACCAAGACACAGTGTTATTGATCCACAACCCAAAGTATGGTCCAACATTTTATTATATTTTTAAACCAACTTATACCCACTCCATGGCGTTGATTTGCTGAAGGTAAATAGGCTTTTCAGTTTGCAAGGTAATTTTCACTTAGCTTAGTGAATGTGGTGAGAATTCATTTTCCAAAGAATACCCAATCATGTGCAAGGAAATACAATGTTTTTTCTTCCAAAAGATTGGATGAAGAAGTCAGCAGAGCTTCACTCCATTCACTAAGCTGAGAGAAAATACCCTTGCAAAGTAAACAGCATATTTGCATTTAGTAAATCACTCACTTCCCCTAAATTATCTAATCATGCAAAAAGCATGTGGACATGATTGGGCATTCAAAGTGAAGAGGAATTTGCTTTTTGAATGATTGTTTGACGTGATTACTCACTCAATGTTTTGAGAGAATATTCTCACCTCCTTTAGTAAATCAGTCTCATTATCTTGTTGCATCTCTCAATTTCTCTGTTCTTCTCATGTTGGATTACTACCCTAACATTCTGTAACAGTCTTGATTCTGTTCATAATTTACTGCCCACTCTTCTGTGGAGGACCAAGGGACGTATTTGTCCCATGTTTTTAATTGCCTGTATCATCTGATTAAGAACTTAAAATACTTTTTTTTTTTTGGTTTGAGTCAAAAATATTAGTACTTATCAACAAATGGATCTAGCTTTTTGCCAATTATTTAATGAAATGGCTTAGTTACAGCAACTGAAGTATACAAACTTTAAAAACAAAAAATTGATTCTTTTGGCGTTCCGTAATCTTATGGTCCTAAAAGGGTTAATGAGCAATGGCATCCAAGCCTTTGAAAATGTGTTTGTAGACTTTTCCAGCTTTATCAATTGCATTTATACTTCTGATAAGATCATTTGAAATTTCATATGATCAGGAAAGTTGAGCACTGTTTGCGATACTATTTTATTTGCACTAATAATTACATTTCTAGGACAGGCTTCTGGGGCCTACTCCCTCCCTTCTAATAACTTTCACGCAGTACTTAGATACAAAGGTTTAAACAAAGACAAACCTGCAAGACAACGCTCTCTGAGGAGGAAAGAAATCCACAAGGTACAGATCTCTCTTAAAGTGGTTGTAAAGGCTGAAGGTTTTTTTACCTTCATGAATTCTATGCATGAAGGTAAAATACCTTCTATGTGTTGCTCTCCCTCTCTATCCAGAAATATGCACAGGAGCCTTGCTGTCCCTGGTCTCTCTCCTCATTGGCTGAGACACAGCAGCAGGAGCCAATCACAACCAGTAAGCCAATGAGGAGAAAGCAGGGGCGGGGCTGAACCATGGCTCTATGTGTCCTATGGACACATAGAATGGGGCTCGGGAGCAGCACGCACCAGTGCCCCATAGTAGTCTGCTTGCTATTGGGGGCACTGGTAAAGGAGGGGATCCAGAAGCGCCAGCAGGCGACCCGAGATGAAGAGGATCAGGGCAGCTCTGTGCAAAACCATTGCACAGAGCAGGTAAGTATAACATGTTTGGTTTAAAAACAAAAAACAACGCTTTAGTATCACTTTAAGATTAGAGGCTGTAAGCTATAAAACTTTGTGAGCATTTATACTGGTCATGTTACTTACAAGCCACACCTCTATCCCATCCATTAATCACCTGTTAATGCTTATTTCATCTAATGGAATACTTGAGTCCAGTTACCCCAAAGGTACACATACTTTGTACAACATAGGCCTTGACATGTTACAAGATTTTTTCTTGAAATCACATTTTGAAATGTTGTTTGAATTTATTATATAAGACTATCTTTATTTATTAAGACTTATGTAAAAATCAGACTACATTCATCCAAAGCCAGAAACAAGATGGATCAGTTAACATTTAATCTAGTGTTATGTTTGATAGTTTTAATTTTTTTTTGTTAGTTATTTTTCCAAACATTCTTTTAACCAGGAATTGTTATGGAAAAATTAAACAATACTTCCAAAATAATAATTTCAAAAGCTCCAATTTGAATGTCAGCTCCTTTCCAAAGTAAAACATTTCATGGGACTTTAAGGTATGCCTCTTGCAGAAGCATGATAAGAAACTAAACTTTTTTTTCTGAGGATACCATGCATAACAAATCATGCATGCAGACACAACATTATAACTAAATCTTCCAACATTTTTTTGCATGCATTACAATCATTGTGTTTCTAAGCAACTTTCCTTAACACTGCAGAACTTTTCCAGTTTATCCCCCATACCTCTTGTATTTGCATGAATTATAGTGTAATTGTAATGCTCACCCCAGTAACAAATATCATATACTATACCCACCAATTTTAGCTTCACCTATCACTTTCACCTTTATTTAACACAAGCAGGCCTACCATTATTTGGTTGCCCCCCGGAGTTATACACAATGCTATAGACACTGGCTAAGTGCTACAACAGACAGAGCAAGGAAATAGGAAAGAGCACCTGTAGTTCTCAGGAGATTCAGGCAGGAAAGTACCAGTAGTAAATCCAGAGGTAGAGAGAGATTAAGGCTGAAGATAGTAACATAATCCAGGAACAGGCAGAGGTCATAGCAGATGGCAGGCAATAGGCATAATATAGAAATGAGCAGAGGTCAGGGCAGGTGACAGACAATAAATGTAATCCATGCAAGGGTAGAGGTTAGGGCAGACAACATACAATAGACGTAATCTAGAAACAGGCAGAGGTCAGAGCAGGCCACAAGCCAAGAGTCCGTGGTTTGTGATGTTTAAATAGAGTGCCACAGCTCTTCTGGGCAAGCAGATTAGAGTAGACTAGGCAGATGAAGCTGACCCTCTACCTACCTAACAAGAGATGTACCACAACTGATCAATAGAAACTGAGGGGAAGTTGCTGTCAGAGCAGAGCCTGTTACCCAGCAAACAATGCTCAAGTCTGGAATGAGGTAGCAGAATGGCAGGCTGAAAGGAGACCTAGGCCTGCGGTGAAACAAAGTGAAGGAAGCTCCTAACAGTAATAGTGAAGCCGTAAAACACAGCAATGATATGAGTTTGTACAGGTAGACACCTATATAGATCCCTCCACACACACCCCAACTCTGCCTCATGCATTTTACAGTCAGATTGTTGCTGAAAATCCTCATTTCTTCATTGAACCATTTTCCCTTTGCAACCTACTTCAACAAATAGCTATATCCTATGGATAGTGGGGGGGGGGGGGGGATACTGGTGATAATAATATTCTTTAAAGTGTAGTGAAAGAACTTACCAATATCAGAGCATTGGACAACACGAAGGTGGCACTGACAGCGGAATGGGCACACAGGTCCAACTGGCTCTACATCTTCTTTGACATCTATACCAGATCCATCATCTTCAAGCATAAAATCAAATATACCTCTTTGGTGGAAGGGCTTGGAGTAGCAGAATGTGACAAACAAAGTGAGAATGATAGCTGCCCTCATATTGTCAGATCATTTATCACTTTCCCTGTGAAGTAACCTGTAAGAAAAATACAATAGTAAATTGAAAAGACAAAGCAATTGAAGGAGCATTTTAATCTTATATAGTGCTGGCATGATATAATTGTAAAACTGACTGTCATTCAGTTCACAAGCTCGATTAATCTAAGAAATTTATATTGCCACTGCTGACATCCTTCTCAAAAAAATATTAGCCTGGTTGCCTCAGGTTTCACTACTTTGAGACACTAACCAGGAAAAAAGTACACCAATCAAATAAGTCAACATTTACTTAAAGTGGCACTTCACCCTAAAAACAGGAGGTTTCACCTTTAAGAATCCCGCCCTAACATTATTTGAGAGGGTTTTTTTTTGAGGAACGGAGTAGTATAGTTCTGTCAAGAACCTGCTCCCACTTCCGCTGGAATTGCCTAGACAATGCCACAGGAAGCCCCTCCCCCCATCCACCAGATGCAATCTCTTGAGACACATCACAGATTCCAAAAGGATCATTCACAAAGCACAGCATGACTCATCATACTGGACAAAACACGTCAGGGAGGAATATTGAGTGCTGACGTGACGTCACGCCACTGCACGATCACAGGTCAGCAGCGGCTTCGTATGTAAGCAGCTTTTTATTTTTGTTTTTATATGTTTTTATGCCTCATATTTTAGTAAATACTACACCACTGGAGATCTGTTTTGCTCCTGGGGACTTTATTTATCACAGTCCAGTTCCTGCTGAGAGTCACTTGTTAATGCAGTTGCTTGGAAGACATCGCATATACGTTGGTGGCTGTAGATGCAATATATGAGCGCATATGCTGTTGTAATGGCAGCCATCGTTTCTAGTGAGCTTTGACTTCACATGGAGGCGGGGTTGGACCCTAGAGCACAATAATTGAAGAGTGATCACATCTGTCAAGGTGGAATTAACCTTTCTGGATTTTCACTGGGACTTTTGTCACTATAACATTTTATTACTTTATGTGGACTTTATATTTCATTGAGCTTATCACTTTTATATATTGTTGTTTTTTTCTATCACAATTTTGTTTTTACGCCATTTTTTTTGTGGTGGCTCTGCACTTTTTGATGTTATATATTTATGTAGGTTTGTTATACTACCTTCTGGTGAGAGCAGCCACACATTTGGAGATACAGCGCAGATATATTTTGGATTTTTCTACAGCACGACTTGAGCATACGCAATGGGAAGCTGGCTGTGAAACTGCAAGGGCCACAGCCAGTTTCCCACACTAAAATGCCATTGCCAGGGACCCAAAGACTGGAGAAGAACTGGCCTGGGTGGGAACAGCACTGGATCCTTAGACAGGTAAATATCCTTCTATTATAACTCAGCAGCTACAGTATTTGTAGCTGCTGCCTTTGAAACTGAAGATCCTCTTTAATATTTCTATTCTGAATGCTTGTTCCACATCAAAGACTTGGAAAATACTGATGCAATCGGACCATCATGACAGCCTGCAAAGTAGTGGAAGCAACAACAAACTTCCTCACCACGGGCCTCCTTTAACTAGAATGGCAATTACATTTGCATTCCAAAGTAACATATTATTAACTATTGTTGCCAACCATCTAACTTACAGTTGTAATTTTATATTTGGAATATAAAAGTACAAATGATTAGTTTTATGCGTAACACATACACTGTCTTTTCAGAAACTTAAAGCTGAATGTTTAGAAAAAAAAAAACATGTTTGCATATTTGCTATGTAAAAATAAATTACATTGATGCATGGGGTGTCCCATGTGTGGATGGTGCTGAGTTAGGTAAAGCTATTACTTTATTAATCTCGGATACTACCGAAAGCACCAAACTTCTGGCGCTGAGACTTATAGCTCGGCTCTCAAACAGTGAAGGGTTTTTTTCTCTGCATCTTTCCCTCCCCTCATCCTTTCACCAAAGTCTTGTACTCTTTTCACATAATATAAGGAATTCTGCAAATGGACAAGGGGGAGATTGTGATGTTCACTCACTCTTCCCCTCATGCCTATTGATAGAACACCTTGTAATCTGTGAAAAGAATACAAGGAGTTTTTTGAATGGAGGAGGGAGAGAAGAAGGCAGAGAGTGAACAACCCACTATTCTTCATTGTACTAGAGTCAGAACTGTCAGTTTCAGCTCCAGAAGTTTGGTACTTATAGCAGTGTCTGGGATGAATGAAACTTTTAGTTTTACCTAATGCAAGACCATCTACACATGGGATATCCATCATTAGCGGTCATTTACATTTAAATAGCATATGTCAAAAATATTTTTCTTCCTGGAATTCAGCTTTAGAGTCCAACTGAACTGTCAGTTTTAAATCACTAAATACATTTCAGGTGCATAAAAACAAAGGAGTTCAAACATTTATTCAGTTAATTTTCTTTATAAAGTAGACATAGTATAAGTAAAAAAGCCTAATAGCAGCTGTAAAGCGGAATCTTTGATCTCTGTAGGAAAGAAGTGTTCTCTCTGCAGAGGTCCAATATGCCCTTTACTGAGTCAGATCTATAGTTAATCAGCAAAGTTCATCCTCTGCAGTGCTCCGCTGACTCAGGGCTGTTGCTCTGACTCAGCAGGGGTATTTTGGGCCTCCTGTCTTTTAATTCAACTAGAATTTATTTAGTTCATTTAAACTGATAGTTCATTGCCCTACCCCCTGGCAGTACAGTGACATGTCTGTAAATCTTCCTGAGCAGGAATTTTGTTCTTTTTCTCTAGTGCCCCCCACTTTTTTCTTCTTTTTTTTAAAACTGATCTTCAGATCTGGCCCCCCAGTATAGACTGTAGGGGTGCATCTACCTAATTTTCTTCATTCTGGATTTAAGCCATGCAGGCAAGGCTGCCCTGTTGGATTCGGTTTTTGTTGTAGTTTTAATGTTTTTGGTGTTGTTTAGTTTTTTTAGTGCTCCAATCTGTCTCTGCTGATTTATGCCTTCAATTATATTGTACTGTACTTCACAGTGGGCCATCTATGCTGCCAGGGAGCTCTACTGCAGTTGGTCTAATTCCTTCTACATATTCCTCTTGGTGCATTTGTCCTGAAATCTTGTCACTTTCATACACACAAGACTGGGTATGATGATTTTCATTAGAATATTATCTTGGAACATCCAAGGTATGAACTCAAAAGTTAAAAGTGCCCAATATTTCAATATCTTAAACAAAAACCCACCTCACTGTCAGTAAGGTATTGGCCCTGAACAAACCATGGATACAGCAAGTATTGCATGCCTTATATTCTGTACACACTACGGAGATGGCCATACTTATCAGTAAATCATTATATTGTACAATCCAACAGGTCATTATAGATCCAGCGGGTAGGTACATGGCAGTAACATGACTTATTAGAGGTGACCTGTACTTATTCATTAACCTTTATATTCCTCCACCATTTGACTCCCAGGTGTTACTTACAATAATTTTAATGATAAGATCCTTTCCTCTAACCTGTGCAGCACAATAATACCTAAGTATTTTAATGCAGTCATTGACCCTGGGCTGGATTCTTCAGACATGCAGAGAGTGCCTTCTTTTGGTCTATTGTTCTGGGCGGCTGCTATGCTTTGGCATTGAAAGATCCCAGATATGAGACAATACTCTTGCTTCTCTTCTACTCATGGCTCAGCCTCAAACATAAATTTACCACTGGGTTGTCCTGTTATTCTTTCTCATATCAATGTGGCCATGTTCCTCCCGGGGGGGGGGGGAATCTCTGACCACAGTCTCTTACTGATTACTGACTCTGAGACTCTGATACCATAGAACAGGTAACGGGTAAAGAACACATGGCCAGGTATTGGGAGCAAAATAGGGGGTTGGTTGGCCTGCTAGCAGATTGGGGGCCTTTGAATCCTCTTTTAGAGCTCAATATACGGTATAACCATTATTACACAAATTAGAATATCCTCAACTGATATCATCAGTGGACTGCAGGACTCCCTGCAATATTCTGAGCAACACTTTGCTGATGTCCCCACCTCTCAGAACTACTCTAAAATTAATCAGGTTCAGAAGGATCTTCTGCTGTGCAGAACGGATATTATATGCCAATCTTATCTCAGGCTCAATGACAGGTTTTTTGAACCTAATGATAAAAATGGCAAGTTGCTTGCCAACTTGGTGGCAGATCCCTCTGCGCAAACGTCAGCCCCCTGTATAAACGTCAGAAAATGGTGTACTGCATATCGACCCTGGGGAGGTCCTGCAGGCTATTGTAAATTTTTAATCTGTGCTTTATTTTTCTATCACGTCTTCATCGTGCCTCTTTAAGGGATAGGCTACAGGACTTGATCATTACTATATTGGTGGAAGAGGACAGGGACTTTCTAGAGGCTTCCTTTACTGTTGCTGAGGTCAGTGATGCTAGTTTGTCCATTCACTCCAGTAAAACTCCATGTCCAGACAGAATTTCACCAGAGTGGTACAAGTTGTATGTAGAAGAACTTGCCCAGAAATTTGTAAAATTTATACCAGCAGTTTCATGAGCTGGGCAGTCTCCCTGACTCTATGTGCCATGCGCATATTTTTCTTCAGCCTAAACCTCATAAGGACTCTATTGGCCCTTACCATTATTGAATATGGACCATTTATCAAAGGCAATTGAGTCCTTGGTGAATCCCTATCAAACTAGATTTATTCCTCAACCTCAATCCTCAAAGTCGACTGATTTTAACCTCAGGCAACTCTTCACTAACATCCAGGTCCCCCACTCTAACCAAGGAAGTAGAATAATTGTCATGCTTGATATTGAAAAAGAGTTTGACTTTGTTGACTGGGAATACATGTGCATGCTCTAGAGAGAATGGAATTTGGTCCCTCCTTTTTTGCCGTGAATATTGCTCTTATACCGTAACCCCCAGGTGTCCATTAAACTAGGTGACCATCTCTCAGCTCAATTGGCCATAAGGTGAGGCACTTGGCAAGGGTGCCCCCTATCTCCCACAATCTTTGCTCTCATGATATAGCCCCATGATTTAGCCCCTT